GCTTCCCTGTAAGCGCATGGATATTATCCTATCACTTACAGCATTGTACCTCATGACTGATCTGGATATGTTCTTTTTGACGATGAATACAACACCATTCCTTTACAATTTGTCGATACAAGATTATATTTATCTATTACATGTCTGTTTCATAAATCAGTAAGCTTTTAATTGCCTAGTAATATTCAGCCTCCTACCCACGTAGTGGTTACGAATTGGGCTGAGACCCGCAAGGTCAGCAGTTCGAAACCACCAGCTGATCTGCAGGAGAAAGATGAGGCGATCTGCTCCCGTAAAGATTTATGGCCTTGGAAACCCTGTTCAGGGTCGCTATGGGTTGAAACCGACTCGATGGCACTTAACAACAACCACCCACACCCTATCACACTGAACATGTCATGAATGCATGGATTTTCCATAAATCTGTTCTACTCTTGTTGTTAGCTACTATCAAGTTGATTCCAACTCATAGTAACTCCATGTGTGCACAGCAGAACTGCTGTACAGGATTTTCAAGGCTGTGACCTTTCTGGAAGCAGATCACCAAGCCTCCTTGCCCCCATAAGGCACGACTGAGCGGGTTCAAACCACCAGCATTTTGGTTAGTCGTCAGAGGGTATAAGAGGGATGTGTCTAGATTCAGCTCATCTCTGTATTGCAGCACCACTCTGTCCGCTTATTTCACAGATCCAATTGCTAACATGTCCACTTACTGATTCCAATCACTTTCTGATCCAGGAACGGGGTTCTTCTGATGAGTATCAGCATACTCTACTCAGACGTACCCTTTAAATTTTCAGAGTGCTTTTCATAGGTTGTTGCCCATACAGGTATCCCTTTAATTGTGCAGTTTTCTACAGCCAATTTGCCTGACCATATAGCCAGGCAGTTACGCACTGCCTATGAGTTGGTAAAAATTCAAACAGATGAGCTCTCACCATTGACCAATTCTTTCATCATGGATAGGAAGACAATATATACAGTTCAGCCCAATAAGCTGACTTGTTCTTACCTTCTTCAATCATGGTCTTTCTATCTGCTGGTCTTGATACAGCAGCTTTCCACATCAAATTTGTCTATGTTCCCTATTAGTAAATTGCCAAAGTTCTGCTTAATTAAAAAAAGCACAAGGCTGGGGTCACAGAACTAGATCAGACCAGATCTGGCCCACCTAACATGTGCAATAATGATTAACGTATCCTTAGCCTAACATTCTGATGTCACAAGGCTGATAACACACTTTAATTAACAGCCTGGACGTGGACAAAATGACATCTTTGTGGTTCCCCCACTTCCTGAGAATGAAGAAAACTGGTTCTTGTACTAAGTCATCTTGAAGAACACCAATCAGATGCCAGTCACCTCCCTCTAAGACTCCTAATCCAGTGCTTGAGAAGCTATCTTGGTGAAGTGAGTCCCAGGGCGCTCCTCTGCTCAGCTAATCAAGCTAGTATCTGTCTGACCTTCAGTTCTTAGAATGTGAGCGGCAACCTTTCACTTGATCTATTTCACCAGTTTCTGCAGCCTTTTAAGTCAATAGCCCAATTTGGCGTGAGTGAGGAAGGAGCTCTGGTAGACTACGAATCGGGTTGCGAACCTTAAGGTCAGCGGTTCGAAACTACCAGCTGCTCCGCGGGAGAAAGATGAGGCTTTCTACTCCCGTAAAGATTTACACCCTCAGAAACCCTATACAGGGTCGCTATGGGTCGGAACTGACTCGATGGCACATAACAACAACAACAACGCCTAAACTATTAATTTGGGACTTGCTAGCCTGTACAGAGGAGTCTTGGTGTGACGCTGTGGGTTAATGCGCCAGACTGTAAAGCCCTTTGAACTGCAAAGTTGGCGGTTCAAGCTCACCAGCTGCTCCTTGGAAACCCTATACAGGGTTACTATGGGTCAGAATCAACTAGACGGCACTTAACAACAAGCCTCTACAGCCACATGAGCCAAGTCCTTGATGGTCTGTGGGTTCTGTGAGACATTGCAGCAACTGCTGAATCCTGGGACGTGAATTGTGGTGGTCGCTATCAGGATGAAGTCAGACATTGGGGGTATATATCTTTAACTTAGACCTCATAGGGACCAGCCTTATGCTGATCTTCTAAAAGGAACTGAAAAATTTTATTTTGGTTACTCCCTTTTTCACTCCTTTTCGTCAACCTCACAAACTATGCACATGCGTCCACACAGCAAAGCTGGGACTGAAAGTCAAAGTTAGTTGACGAAAAAATATCAAAATGCTTTATAAATATTATTAAATATTAAATATTTATTTTCTATAATGATGAAAAAACATCAGTTATTTCAGAATTAGACTAAATTTACTTTAAATACTTACGGCACTGTGGGATAAGCACTGGACCACAGCTCAGCTTGAATTGCAAGGTCAGTGGTTCAAACCTACCAGTTGCTCCTCAGAAACCCCATATGGGTCTCTGAGAGTCAGAACCACCTCGACAGCACTTAACAACAACAATCTTTCTATTGTTGTTGCTATTTGCTACCAAGTCAGCGTCAACTCATGGTGAGTTTACATATAACCATTTTAACACTATAATTCGAGGTAACACTGTTTTCAGATCACATCTATTTACTCTGAGATGTAGGGTTTCAGATTGGTGGTAGTGATGTGCTGTTAAGTCAGTTTCGACTCATAGTGACCCTGTATAGGGTTTCCGGGGCTATAAATCTTGTAAGCAAAGATGTTTCTTCTGAGTTACACCTGGTGGACTCGAATTGCTGACCATGTGGTTAGCAGCCCAATGAGAAACCACTCTGCTATGAGGGCTCACATCTAAAATAATCAGAATTCTTAAGTAATATGGATTGCCCTGCTTCTAGTGACTTTTGGAATCCACCAGTGCACTGCTTTATCTTTATTTAAGGAGCAAAGCTTTAACCACTTAATAGTTAACATCTTAATTATCAGATATGCAATGGCTTGTTGAGACAATGAATAACTAAAAGAAAACGAATTTACTCAGGGGTTGGGCAACTGGAGTAGTATGAAGAGGCGCCCCCCCAAACCTTCAGAAAATAAAATTACTTTTAATACAGTATCTTTTACCAGAAAGAAAAAAAACAAACAAACATGTACCATTCAGTCATCTTCTATATATGCTGCTAATCTTTGGTACATTAGCTTTGTCACATGATTCATAAGTCATATCAAATAGATTTTTATATAATCTTCAAGTTTATGTTATCAAAGGATAACTGCGATATAAAGAATTTTTAAGATAAATTTGGACTGAGCTTCATTACATTTTTATGAAGCTGAGGTTAATGTTAGTTTAAATTCCATGAATGTGAAATAAATGAGAGCAAGGAAATTAAGAATCTATAACAAACAGGGTCACAGAGACAAAAGTGTGATTACAAGTTTCCCAAAGAAAAGTCAGAATAGAATAAATAGGCTAAGCACAAATCATTGGGAACTAATCCAAAAAGTGAAAGCAATTCAGCATTTTAAGGATTTCAAAACTGCAAGCGATAATCTTTTCTTGGGGAAGGGGGCTGCTTCTTAATTCAAAGAAAGTTGAAATAATAATTTTCAAGTTCGAGTTCAACACGATCGCAAATAAAAGCAGTAAACAACGGTTTCAGATGGCAAACTGGCAAAAGGCAAAAGTAATTTTTTAATCTTCACTCCCCGCTACTTCCACCCCTTAAAATCGTTGAATATTCTGTTAGGGCTCAATTTCGAAGTTGAAAACTTAAGACAAAACAAAAGCAAAAAGG